CCACCACTCCCTCACAGGGAACAGAGAGAGGCTGGAGATTGAATTCAATCTCCAATGACCAATGGTTTAATCAATCATGCCTATGCAAAGAAGTCTCCATAAAAACCCAAAGAGAGATTCCTGGTTGGTGGCCATGTGGAGATTAGGGTAGAGTGGCTTACTCAGAGAGCATGGAAGTTCTAGCACCTTCCCACATACCTTGCCCTATGCATCTCTTCCATCTGTCGGTTCCTGAATTACATCTTTTCATAAGAAACTGATAATCTTGTAAAACGTTCCTTGGAGTTCTACAAGCTGCTTCAAGTGAATCTAACCCGAACAGGGGGCCCTGGGAACCTCTGATCTATATATAGGTGATGAGTCAGAAGCACCAATGACAGCCTGGACTTCTGTCTGGTGTCTAAGGGGTGAGGGAGGTTTATAGGACTAAGGCTTTAACCGTGGGACCTAATGCTAGTTCCAGGTAGACAGTGTCAGAACTGAGTTAATTGCTTGGTAGTGTTGGGGAAACACTTGGAGTTGTCCCCAGGGCATCCCGAAGGGGGCATCTTCTCGGCCAACTGGTGCTTTAAAAGGGAACCAACCCATAAACTACCCTATTGGGAGGCCAATCAGGTGGAAAAGCCCATCCCCTTTATGTTCATTTTATTCTGAAGAAAAAAGGTAAGGTGGCAGGGAGGCTGGCAACTACTGTGGGCCCAACGTCACTCTCCACACCTTCATTTCCATCCCAGCCTCTCTCCCAGTTCAAAGTGACACCAATCCCCATACAGCCTGTCTAGCAGTACCCTTCATATGACTTCCTATGTCTTCCCAACAAGCATATAATCTAATTGTTTTGTTTCCCCTATATTTTGAAGAAAGATGTTTTAAAATTGAGAAAACAGGGTAAGTGCATTGCTTGAAGGAATTTCGTAAAAAAAAAAAATTTTTTTTTATTTTTCTGAAGACTATATATTTTTAAAACTATTAACAAGTACCCATAATCTTTAATAGCTAATTTCCAGTAGATTATTAAAATTTCTTTTTCTCCCCAAAGGAGAGATGGCAACATTTAAACTGAATCAAATTAGTTTTCCTTGAAGTTAAATGATTTCATTTTGTGATTGTAGGGATGCTTGGAAAGCAATTTCAGCTCCAACTCTTTTAAAGTGATGATGTCTCGTAATTTAAGATGAAAGCATTATTTATTATCACATTCTTAAAAGGAGACACTATTAGACCTCACTCTGAGGAAAGATAAGGCAGGTAAGGGGTTGAGCCATTTAAGGTAAGAAAGAGCGATCATTCCAAGAAGTGTTTACGGTTAAGCATTCTCTGGCATTGGAAATTATGAAAACCCAAGAAAATACATACAGTGTTATGACAAGAATCACTTAGGGGGGGGGGGGGGGGGGCGCGGGAGGTGGTGCAGGTGAGGATAGTGGGAAAGACAGGAAAGGCAACCTCTCCATCGGGCAGTCCTCTCTGGCCTCAGTCCGATGGTCTCAGAGACACAGTCCAGAGGGGAAACCACCAGTCTTGGAAGGGCTGGCTCTGCCGCCCCTTCTCCATAGCTGGACCTGCTGGGGAAAAGGGGAAACCTTCTCTTTTTCACTTGTTTATTTTTGAGATTTAGTGGGTTCCGATGTGGAGAAGAGGAAGAACTTTTGAAAAATAAGAACCACTTAGAAAATCTATCCTGGGAGCGGATTCCCAGCTGGCAGGCCTGCCCTGTTTGTTCCCTCTCTCTGACCCTTTCCAGCACATCTCTTGCCCTGCTCTTCACTGATCCTGCCGGAAGAAGGCATGGCCTGAAGAGTCCTTTGGATACGAGGGCAGCCTCTTTAAAAATGGCAAGTGCAGATTTGGAGGGTTAAGGGGCTGTCTTTCACTCATCACCCACATATTGCTGTGAACCAGCTCATTCAGATTTCCCCCTATCTCTAGGCCAGATCAGCTGCATTGGGTGGGGCTTTCAAAAGGGAGGGGAGGAGAGAGGAAGGTTTTAGGGCATTTTATGGACTAAAGCCCTTTGGAGAAGGGCAGGCTTAAGGAGACAGGCTTGAATGGTCTTTATGCTTTGTGGAAATGGGAAATGATTAGACAGAGATGGGGGAATGGGTCCCACATGCAAACTTTGCCTATTTCAAAATTTCTCCAGGGTCTGATTTACCTATCACCTTAAATTTCCCAGCTAGCATTGCTAGTAATCAGTTCAATGTTTTTACCACTTAAACTGGTTTTTATAGGCTGAATGAATATTCTAAACACTATTTGTAGTATTTTGTTTATGGGGGAAATAACTCCTTAAGAAACT